ACCTCGAGTTTGAGTCACTCAATGGCGAAAGTGGAAACTACTATTGATCCTATTTAAAAAAAGGAGAAAAAAAATAATAATTATATATTAAAGTGTCGGGGTCAGACAATGTAAAATTATTTTGTATAAGAGAATATAAATTTTATATTATTTTGTATAATAGAATATAAAATTTGTATGTTTAATATTAAAAATACTTAAAATATTATATTAGTATATGTAAAAGTATTCAAATTTTTTATATTATTTTTAAAAGATATGAAGTCACCTACAACTTTTCTAAACAATTTTAGAAAGAAAACATATCTAAAAACATTTGAATTTAACATTATGTAAAAAAAATTCTAGACTATTTTGTAAAAAAAGCATGTCTACAAATAATGAAATTTAACATCAATTATATATATATGTGTATATGTGTTATATATACGAATAAGTAAAAAAAAAAATGTCTAAACAATTTGTTTAAAATAACTAAATATTATAAGGCTAATTTAATAAACACCTTCAGTAAAAAAACAGGAAAAAAAATCAAATATCTACACATTAAATCAGATATAATATTTCGAAATTTATGCATAAAAAGAGTTTAAATGAAAAGGGAAACAAATCTAACATAATATCTATTATTTTGTTAACCTAAAAAATAGGAAAAAGGAAAACATCACAAAAACCACCGCATGTATTATTTTGTTAACCTAAAAAAGATAGGAAAAAGAAAAACATCTCAAAAATCAGTGCGCGGTTTTTTTGTTAACACTATATCAATGTTTATTTAATGATTTTAGAGGGAATAATGATTTTAGCCGGTATTTAATAATTTAAGAGGGAAAATAATAATTTTGGCGGGTATTTAATAATTTTGGAGGGAAAATAATGATTTTGGCGGGAAATCATAAAAAAGTTATTCTTTTAATATAGGAAAATACTACAATCCCGTAACGGGATCATTCCTTCATATCAAACTCCAATAAAAAACTAACACATGTAAGAGTCCATATAAAAACTACCACATCTAAGAGTCCATATAAAAACTAACACATCTAATGGTTTATATTGATTTGAGGGAATCATTCCCTCACGGGATTGTAGTGTTTCCCTTTAATATAATGATGATAGATGAGTATTACGCGGCCGGTGCTTATTAAAAAATTATTCTTAAAATTTAAATTAATGAGAAAAGTTATTTTAAATTTTATTTACTTTTTTTAATAAAAAAATATATGTTATTATATATTTTAGTATAACATTTGTTATTTGTGCGACTTACATTTTTATTTTATTATTGTTATAAAGATAAATATAATTTATTTTTTAATACATACAATATGGATGTTAAATCAAAATTCACCCAGAGATGATTAATTTGATATATTATATATGTAAAATCAATTAAAAAATAAAAAAAAAAAAAAAACTATTAATTTTTAAAATACAGTTACAATTCAATAATCATAATAAGAAGCATGCAATGTTGCGATCTCGAATAGTGTGAATATGCCACTTTAAGTTCAACACAATTCTGAATTAATACGTGAGGGGAATTCATCAAACGACGCCGTGTAGAGCATCAAGGGGTCCTCCTTCACGACATGTCTCTTCGATTTCCTTTGGCCTCGTTTACTAGGGTTGATAGGATATGATAAGGTTGGTTAACCAACCTTATCATATGTTTACTAGGTTGGTTAAGGAAAGGACTAGTCTGATGTGGCATGTGGGTCTCCCTTCATTAATATGATGTGGAGGGATTGTTTTGTCCCCCCATTTTGGGGGGATATTTTTATCCCCAAGTTTGAGTTCCAATTTTGGGCGGATATTTATAAAATATTAATTTAAATATTTTTTATTTAATTAAAAATAATATTATATATAATCTAAAATAATTATATTTAATTGAAAATAATATTATTTAAATATTAAAGTATTAATTTAATTAATTCTATTTAATTTAAAAAACATTTTTTAATATAAAACAATTTAATTTAATTTAAAATAATATTATTTAATTTATTAAAAAATTAAATAATTTTATTTAATTTAAAATAATTATATTAAAATCAAAATAATATTATTTAAACTAAAATATTTTATTTAATTTAAAATAATATTAATTTAAATAATTTTTTAATTTAAAAATGTTAATTAAATTTAAAATAACATTATTTAATTTATAAATTTTAATTGAAATAATTTTATTTCATTTAAAATAATTAAATTAACATTTTTTAAATTAAAAAATTATTTAAATTAATATTATTTTAAATTAAATAAAATATTTTAGTTAATTCAAAATAATATTATTTAATTTGAAATATTTTATTTAATTTCAAATAATATTATTTAATCTATAAAATATTTATTTAAATAATTTTTATTAATTTCAAAAAATATTTTTAATATAAAATAATTTAATTTAATTTAAACAACATTATTTAATTTATTAAATATTAAATTAAAAAATTATATATAAGTTTTAATAATTTTATTTAACTTAAACTATTATTATTTAATCTATAAAATATTAATTTTATTAATTTTATTTAGTCTAAAAAATATTGTTTTATAATATTTTCTTTAATCCGAAATAATATATTTGATTTTTAAATAAAAATAATGTAATTAATTAAAT